CCACCAGGCCCATCCAGTCAGAAGCAGACTCAGCAGATAAAGGATGCTACTTTTTTACTTGTACTTGAATCACTTTTAGCTTGACTTCATCTGACTTCCCTTCTCCAAACACATCCATTTCTACCCAGATGATCTTTGGAGAGGGAAGGTGCTTTTTAACTATCTCATCCAAGATAAAATGCCAGCTGAAATGCTATTCTCCAGGAAACTGGGGAGGAGATATAAGTAATATCTCCTTTCTACAGGTCCAACTACAGTAGTTTGATTACTGTCCAAGGAGTCGTAGAATCTAAGGAAAGTTGCAGAGACAGGCCTGAAAACCATATGGCAGCCCGTGCAGACACTGAAAAGTATTTGCTGCAGCTGCTTATATGCTGGAGACTACCATGCAACAGCACTGCAAAGAACATACAATTTCCCACTTCAGGTTTCTTTGGTACCAGCTGATTTCCTAACTGTGCTTACCAGTGTGCTTCAGCCAAGACACGTGCAGGGGACTGTGCAGCGCGTAGGCAGTCACTAACACCCTGGTACCCAAGGGCTCTGCTAAGCCTACTTCTGCTCCTCACAACGCACAGGTTGGAAGAATAGACAGGAGCTTCCGCGAGCGAAGGGAAGTGCTTACGTTAATGTCACAGCGCTCTCCCGTGTAGCTGGCACTGCACAAACACTCGTATTTGTTCTCAGAGTCTCGACACGTACCTCCGTTCTGGCAAGGGTTTGGATCACACTCGTTTATATTAATTTGACAACTGGAAAGGAAAAGTGTATGAGAATTAAAGAAAATTTCTCACGTATGTTCTTGTGCCACAGAACACAAGATCATACAGTCTACAAAAGCCTCATTTATTTGAAAAGTTCCTGTTGTATCTTTTTCAGGGCCAACAACATGAAAATTTTACCCATTCATACCAATCCTCCTTTTGTCATTTCTGTATGATTGAAGCCAGTACGGGTCTCTAGCACAGTTAATGAATTCTCATGAGGCACAAGAACTACTTGGAAGCAGTTCACATTGCAAAAATTGGTGTTGTCAGCAGGATCGTATCAAGCCTGCCTCTTCTAAAAATAACTGCTAGTTTACAGTTTTGGAGCAGTTGTTTGAATGGCAAAAGGATATGTAAGAGGATGATTTGAACCTGCTCAGCTATCCCACTGACGTAAGAATCAGAGCACAAGCTCCTCTGCAAGCATCAAAAAAAAACCACTTACTTCCTTCCAGTGAAACCTGGCTTGCAAGTGCAGTTGGCTCCCCAGCTCTCACTGATGCACTTGCCACCGTTCAGACAGGTGAAGTTCTTACCGCATTGCTCAGGTGGGAACGGCCATCTGGGAAAAGCAAGAGACAGCCTTTAAAGCAATCAGGTTTTGGGGAGGGTGAAAGTGTATTCAGGCTCAGCGGAGACTGGGCTGGCGAGGGTCATAAGCACAGTCATTGGTATTTCTAGGAAGGAGTTTGGCACAAGTGGAGACGGGAAGAGAAGGGAATAGTCTCAGAAATCTTCCATAATATCAGAGTATCGCTTTGAGCATGCCCAGAGAATATGCAGGAGCTATATCAGTACTAGGACTCTTCTCACATAGTTGCCTATTCTTGCTGATGAAGATATAAACAGAGGCAGGATACTGTTGGAATACCAAACTGCAGCACAGCTAGGCCACAAAAAGGATAACGCAAGTACTAGATAACTGTCTACACCAGAATGAAGCAAGAACAACGGGAAATTCAACCTGGGCGGATTAGATAAATACTTACGTGGCTGAGCTGCAGTTATCTCAATGTTCAATTTGAACAGGCACAAGTAGATGGAAGTCTAAGTAACATGTTGATTCCTACTTCCTTTACTGATACGAGACATACCTTTGTGACTAAATATGCTGGATTTTTTCCAAACTAATACAAATGCTATAAATACAGACCTTATCAAAAAAACCCAGCCCTCCTCCTGACTCATACCGATTTCTCATCAAATTTTAAGTGAGCTCCATGGAGGGATCATGAAATGTGCACTGCTAAGCAGTACAGGCAGTAAGGCGACAAGTAGAGAAACTTTTTTCTCCCAGTACGCATTTGATAAGAAGAATACTCAAACAGACTTTTTTTTTTAACCAATACACAGAAGCAATGCCCTTAGTCTTAGGGCCAATGCCACAAAATACAACCAAGCCCTTGGTTGAAGGAATGCTGTCAATCAGTCTAGGAGTGCGTATGTATTTTTATCTATCATATTATAGGAAAATATTTGTCAGGGTAAGGCTTGTTTTTGCAGAGGTAGTAGCAATGGGCACCTTCATTAGCACTGGCAGCTTTCTGCTCACAGGCAGACTCAGTATCCCTTGAAAGCTGGCTGTGTACCACTGGTAGCAAAAATAACCGCAGTTAGGAACTCCTGCTACGGGTGATGTCTATAAACATAGCATCAAAGGTTTACCAAAAACAGCATTCTCAGCAGAGATTAGATTGTCCCTCTTCTGCACTCTGCCCAGGAACCCATCCTCACTGGGACCATCACTCTGGGACATCCGGTGCACCTGAAACTTTAGAATACAGCCTGCTCCATCCTCCGGGGGCTGGGAGGCTCCTTTCATTTCATAAGCAGGCCAGCGGGGGGGTTGGTTGGTTGTTCTGTTTTGTTTTAAATCAATATAGGAATATGCCAGAGGGGAGTCAAATCCTGGAGAAGATTTCTTAGGGAATGCAAGAGGGAAGTGACAACAGGCTACAGTACTTGCACTTTAAACAGCTCCGAAACGTAGCATGGGGATAACCCACATAAAAAGGAAGGATCTTTATCCTTTATGAGGATCCTCACTTTTCAGTGAGGATTTGGACCTGGACAACACCTTCCAATTCATGGCAGAGTTTAGATGCTTTACCCACCAGATACTTGCAATGAAAAATTTTCCCAAAGTGTCCCACAGTAAAAGTCCAGTTTATCTGGGGGCTCCTCTGACCCCTGCATCAAACCAACCAAGGCACTTACTCGCAGCGAGGTCCCGAATACTGAGGAGGGCACTTGCAGGAGTAGCCATAAACCCCATCAATGCAGGTGGCTCCATTTAGGCACTGGTGCCGCACACAGTCATCGACGTTGATGTCACACTTCTTCCCAATGTATCCCCGGAAGCATTCACACTGAAAATCTGCTACTGCATCGACACAGTCCCCGTGAACACATGGGCTTGACTGGCAGTCATCAAGGTTAGACTCACACAGCAGCCCCCCCCAGCCAGCACTGCAGGCACAGCTGAAGGAATTGAACAAGTCCTCGCAGGTGCCAGCATTGAGGCAAGGGCTAGAAGCGCAAACATCAGCCCCAGTGCAGCCCAGCTGGATGGTCCTTCTGCTGAACTGCTGGAACTGTTCTGGCTGGGGGTACGAGAGCTGGGCAGTGAATGGCAGGTAGATCCCCCCTATCTTCACTTGTCCTAGGCAGCCAGTGAAATTTTCAGCTAGAACAATCAGTGCGTTGTTCTTTAGGAAGTCCAAGTTCCCAGCATTTCCCTGCAGAGTCATATTAACAGACCCATCCAAACGAACCAGCCATCTGGAAGAAAGCGCAGATGGCTCTTCCATAGACACAGAGATGGTGTGCCAGGCACCGTCCGTGACAGACTTCTGACTCAGGAAGCTGACGCCTTCGATGCTATTCCCACTCCTGATGTCAACAAGCAGGGAGGAGTTCTTAATGGCTATCTGGAGGGAATCCACTTCTTCCACAGCCCGAAGCAAAACAGCATCTTCATCCCTGGTTCTGAAATCCACGTGGAGGCTGCTCAGAGTTCTAATCACTGATGTATTGGTGGTAAATTCAATGGCAGCATAACTATCAAATGTTGCATTAGCCAGACCTATAAATAAAGGGATAGAGTATAAGGGATTTGAAAGACAGTTGGTGTCATGTTTGAGACAGACCAATGGCAAACTTCTGGCAGGTTCTCTCCCTTAAGAATCATGTAAGCTTAGTGTGAGTAGGATTACAGGCCTAGCTGCTGGCATCCTTAAAGCTCTTCCTGTTTACAATTTTACCTCTGATAATAATATCCAGCTCTTGCAATTTTTACTCATCAGTCTCACAGCACTGCACAAAAATAGAACTATTCCCCTTTTACTGCTAGAAAAACTAGAACATCAGTCAGGAAAGTAATACACCCAAAGCTGCTGAGGCAGCCAGTGGCAGAGCTGGGAACACCCCCACATCCTGAGTTCCAGGACACTTTCTAGCCACTAGACAACACTCCCTCCACATCAGGGCATCATTAGCTAACTAGTTTTCTTCATTCTCCAATGAAGAAAGTGAATTGGGTCCTACTTGGTGAAATAACCTGAGACTCTAGAAATAGCTGAATGTTGCAGACAGCAGGATGGTCCTTGCACTGCAATGATAATAAGGTAGGCAATCACTCCACAAAAGTGGACAGGTTCCTCCCTGATCAAGTCAAAGTAACAAAATAAAACACCTTTGAGTACCATCTTTGCTCTATCAGAACCTGGTGGTAAATCCGTAAAGTGCATGCTGCCTGCAAGAGTGTGTACCTGGGCATCATTCCCAGTTTCCTTTTTGCGGCACGTGTTTATATTTATTGCAACAGTACAAAGTAGGAATACTGCTTATAGACAGCGAACATTAAGGATTTTACCAACACGTAAGTGAGGAACAGCACTTACACACATATCCTGCTACAACATCTATACAGGTGGTAGCTTCAGGACATGGGTCACTTTCACACCAGACTCTTTCTTCACAAAATTTCCCCGTGAAATTTGCTGGACAGCTGCAATGGAAATCATTCCAAGTGACAATGCATCTGCCACCATTCTGACATGGTTCAGACTGAAAAACAAAATAGCGGAGTTTAGGAGCAGCGTAATTCATCTTTGGATCTAAGAGAATTTGGTAGAAGGAAATGTGACAACAAAGATTAGTATGAGCAGCACTTGAATCGAGAAAGAAGGGTAATTAAAATAGTGACTCAACAGCAGTGAAGGAAACACAAGGGTCTCTGTACAAGAAATTCCCGAGACGCTGCCTCTCCCTGCGTGCACTGCTGATCAACAGAAACTCCCTAGGCAGAGCTCCATCAATTTGGAAAAGAACAAAGCACAAAAGCAAAGGTGAGAAACAGATGAAACGTGCTGCAATGCTCCTGAAAACCTCACAAAGTTCTGTCACTAGAGGGACACACCTAATACCAGAGGCGTGACAGTACTTCATAGCACCGTGAGCAAGAAGGGCAAAATTAGGGAGTACGGCCTCCCCATCGTCACGTGTGGCATAAAGGAGAGAGAGTTCTGGTCTAAGGGCACCATGGAGACAGTTCCTTGAACCGTTGTTCCTGAAGCAATGGATTCCTGGGGGAAGAGGTGGTTGTGCAATTGAAACAGGACGAAGGGAGGAGCTGGAAAGGTTACTGGTTAGAAGGCGGAGTCTGGAACGTGTGTGTGGGCTCAGCAAAATGGAGGTGGGCAGCACAAGAGCCAGACTGCCCAAGTTCTATAAACTACAAAAACTACAGGGGAGCTAGAGAAAACTTGATGCTTAAATTGTATGTAGTATATTGAGTGACGTAGGAACATATGGGACCATGTGTCCTTCAATACTTAAAAAAACCCAAAACCTTCTCATCTTCCTGATATCAGCAACAGTCAAACTTTTCTGTAATCACAGAACTATAATAAACAACTGCACACATGTAGAGACAAACGAGAGACATCATACCTTGCAGGTGTTATCAGAGATGCAACCATCCACAAGATTACCATTTTGAGTCCTATTGAGTTCCTGTGGCAGACTGTAGTTCTCAACTTGAAAAAAATCTATTTGGTGGCTGTTCAGTTGGATGTCTTGCAAACAGCCTTTAAAATAGCCTCCCCACATATCAGCGCTGTCTGCATTATGATGTCCACCAATATACACTTCATAACCAGCTAAAAGAGGTCTTGCTACGAGCTGTCCTAGCTCCAGGTATGTGTCTGATTGGTGAGCACCAACAATTCCTTCTTGGAAAGACAGAGCTACCAAATGTCTTCTCCCATCAACTAAATTTTCTGGAAACGTCACAGTATCTGTAGATAACATCTCAATCTTCAGCTTGCCATTCTTCAAGTATATGGTGAGGCAAGGGTCAGTTTCGTTGCTGATTTGCAATAGCAAACCGTTAGGTTTCCGACTACGAATGAAAAAGGAGATGTTGAAGTTTGCACCAAGACTATCAGAAAGGGTGAAAGAGGCAAAGCTGGTGGAATTCTCGAGGCCAAATGTTGCTGCTGGGCGCTCTGGAAGAGAAAACGAATGCACATCAGTTCGGTGACAAGGGGAATGCAGCTGGCACAGGGATATTCTAAGCTGCAACTCCTTATGAATGAGGGAAGACCTTTCTTCCGAACATTTTCAACGGGCATCAGGGTAATTATGCTCTCTCCCCACACAGGTCTGTGAAATTAAGAAGTAGGTGAATGTGTCCTTGCTTTCTCTGGAGGGCATGAATTCAAACACCCAAGTAGCAGAAGACAGAAAAACAGGTCTGGCAGAGTCCTTGCCACCTAGCAGATTTACTCAAGGACTTCTAAGCTACGAAGTTGCTTTTAAAATTTGTAAATTTGGTGGTAACAGCAGAACAACTTTGTACTTCTCATGTTGAGGGCTCAGGAGTGAAACAAAAAACTGGAAAAGTATTAATATAAGCCTTGCAGGAATAAAAAATGCAAATAGATATGATTTTAACTCAAAATTGTCAAAGAGCTTCCTTTAACACTTTGTGGTTTATCTGTAAAGCAATACATTCCTATTCATCCTTAACGCAGAAGCTCAAGATCAACTTTTCACAGTAAAACAACTTCCCTGCCCTCCTGCATTCACATAGATCTGATACAGAGATGAAGTCAGAGCCTCTGGCTCAACAAGGAATAACATCTGCACCACAAAACTGACAATTGTTCCTGCAGGAGCAAGTGACAGAAAAGGGATCAATAAGACTTTTATTTACAGAGGGTTTGGCTTCAGTTTCCTCACTGGTCAAGTAGAAAATACCGCTTCCAGAGCTAGCATCAATGCTTATCTAGTATCTTTGAAGCACCAACTGACAGAGGATCTGGCAGATGTAGATCATGTGGCACTTACCATATGAGCAAGCGGGGCCTCCGTAAGGCCTGGAACAGTCACACCTGAAGGTTGCCCAAAGGTCCACGCACAGCCCGCCATGAAAGCAGGGCTGGGAGAGGCACCACTCTGTCCGGTCACAGCCCCGCTTCACTGGGGAGGACTCGCCCACAGGCAGATCCACCGGGAGCACCGCTTCAGCATCTACCTGAAAGTCTTCCAGGCAGCCGACAAAGCCTTGCTGGCTCAGCGTGTTGCTGGCCATTGGATCCTCAGCACCTCCCACATACATGTTCAGGAAGGCATGCAGGATCAAAGCATTGCCATGTGGGACAGGAGAGCTCTGCAGGCAGACACCTGCATCGCAAGAGTCATGCCAGAGCTTTAGCTGCATAGTGCTGTGCAGAACAACTTCAACTTTATGCCACTGGCCATCATCAACTCTCAGCCCCTCCAGGAACAGCGGGTACTCAACATCCTCCCTCTTCAGTCCTGCATGCAGAATGCCATCAAAGAGCTCCAGGAACAAGTATTCAGCTTCATGGCCTTGGTAAAAAAGGATAGCGCTGGGCAAGGTGGTTCGGAACCGGAGGGACACGCTGGCAAGCTGATCTGCTACGTCCCTCCTGCTCTGATTGTTCACGGGCAGCTCAATGAGGAGATACCCTCTGGAAGCAAAGGAAAACGTTGTTGGTGTTGAGCATGTGGCATCATAGAAACCAGGCTGGCACTGGCACAGGTGGCCGTGGCTCTCAGCTTGGTAGGTTGGGATGCACAAGGCCTCATTTTGGCAGTCGTGCGTCTGGCACCCAGTGAGCTTGACAGAGCAGTTCTTCCCTCCCCATATAATGCCATCCTGGCTAGGGGCACAGTGGCAGGTATAGTCAGCAATGCCATCCTCACAGACAGCTCCATTCTTGCAGGGACCCTCCTCACACTCATTGATGTTAACAGCACATTCCACACCTGCGAAAGAGATTTAGAAATGGGATCTCACTGCAGGGGATTGTGACTCCCTTCCCCAGAGCAAGCCTGCCAGGCACAGACCGCCCTCCCCAGCACTGCCGCTCTCTAAGCCATTCTCTTCGGGAAACCACCAAAAGACCAAGAGCTGCCAGCAAGAAGCCCCACGCTCACTACAGAGTGGCCTACCACTAACGTAAGAGCAAGAAAAACACTTCTGTGCTGTCCCAGATGCTGCAAAGAAGGTGCTATTTATAGAGCTTCAGCCAGGCAGCCTACATCATCCAACAGTCTCTACTGTCCTCTCCCAGACAATCTCAAACACCACAGGTAATCAACATGCAAGGAGAGCAAGCAGAGCATATTAAAGGGACAAAACAGCACAGACAAGGATTTTATGCTTCTTTCATGCATAGATAGGGTACGTTGAAAGTAAGTCTATAGATCTGACTGGAGCGTGTTCCAGGCACCGTTGTGGCAGACAGCATCAAAATGGATCACTAGCTGGGGAAGTTATGGGAAAGCCTCAGTTAAGAAAATTCAAATTCCCAGACAACCCTCCAGTTGTAAAACACTCACAAAACTCAATTCATTACCAAACAACAAACAAAACATGCTCCACAGGCACTTTGCCATACTTGCACTAAGCTGATTTCAGTTCTCTCCAGTCCTGCAGAAGTGAACTGGGTAAAAAGTACTGCATTGCAGCTCGTCTGTCTCCTCGAGGCACATGTATCCCAACAGGGCTCCAGTAAATTACAAGACATTACACTCAAATCTGGTTAAATGAAAATCTGCTGTCATTTTCCTGAGCATCTCCAGACTGACAGAAGAGCCCTTCTGAACAAGTTCACTTCATCTAGCCCATAACATTGGTTTTCACTAATCTTCAGAGACAGTCACACAGATAAACCAAGCATGGATTATCCCAATCTAATAGCATTACACGCCGAATCTAGCTAGCAAGCACAACAGGGACAGCAGAAAGAAAAAGAAGGAATTCACACACAAAGGAGAGGAATCAAAACACAAAAGACACTTGTAAAGAAAAGCCACTAGACAGAATGTGCATGTCAAA